GGAAAAGGGAGTGCAAAGAGCAAGACTGACTCAGGCCCAGCCCAAGCCAGTCATCTTCAACCTTCAGCTTCTGTTTCAAAAAACGCGCCCCTTCCATGCTTCATTCAAACTCCTGATTCTTTGACTTTTAACAAAAACTCATAACACAAACATTATAGAGCATCAAGAGACGAACTCAGACATATAAAACACTTGACCTAACTCTAAGAAACGAAGGAGAATTTCTTCATCCCCAATTTCTGACCTAATTTTTCTTCAATGTTCATGGCCAAAATTCTCACAGCATACTCAATATAAATGAAAAGTAAATACATGGATGGCTTCAGGGCTATGAGTAGAGCATGTTTCATTCACAAACCTAAGCCTAACTCTTCCTAGATTGAGAGATAGAAGTTCATGTTTTTACCTGTTTCAGCTTGATTCGTGTACAACAATGTGGCCAACTTCAATGGAGTTTGAGCTTTTGTACAGCTTGCCTGAAGTCCAGGGATGCTTCTCTAACACCTAGCTTGCTTTGATACTCTCTGAATCGTGCTATGGAAGTTCACCTGCAAAACTGAAAAGTGAAAATGGCAAGTGATGTTAGGGGTGTTACAGTTTGTATCTAGGGCTTGGGATAGTTCCAATGGATGATATAGAATGTATTTGAACTGGTTTTAGCCAAAGTGCACGAGTGGAATGGATTGTGGAAGTCAAACTGCAACAAATGCCCTATTTTGCAGAAAAACTGTGATTTTCTGTATGGGGAGGGATGAGGGGTGGTTTGGTCGTGCTTTAGGCTTGCTTGGATGTATGAAAGATGTTTGCAAAGTTTTGTTTTGGTTGGTGTTTACAGGAATGAGAGATTGAGAGTTTTTTGCAAGATTTCTTCTTATGTAAGCAAGGATAGTGTAAGTGTGATATAGGCCTGTCCAATGTCCTCAAGCATGCTGCACACTTTGCTCTTGATCAGTGGGATTTGTCCACCCAACTTTTCCTCAAAGATTTGGCATGTACTTCAAAGATTCAGAATTTGACATAAAGCATTACTTTTCCAAAATGGCAAATATGCTTTTTCTATTTAAGGGTTAATTCTTTGTGTAATGACTAAATGCACAAAACAATGCTTGAACACAATGGTTAGGCATTTAATTATGGAGTGCAAACTTGGTTTAGAGGCCTGCAAGCAAGTTCCAAGCATGCTGATTTGAAAATGAGACTTGTATGAACATGCATTTGGTTATGAACAAAAGTGAATTTTGCCCAACTTTGCAAATTCGATTCTCCCTAACCACAAGGGTGTTTGAGAAGTTTTTTGACAATTTGGAAAGCTTGGAATGTGTAATACAATCCATCTTTGTAATTCAAATTGAAACTCCAAGTGGAAGCATGTGAAAAATGGCCAAGAAGTTGGACAAAAATCCTGCCTAGAATAGGTCAAAAATTTTCTCAGTTAAAAATGTTTTGCACCCTTATTCCAAAAATCATAACTTGAGCTACAAGCTTCCTTTGAGAAAACTTTGTGAATCAAAGTTGTAGATTTTGAAATGGACTACAACTTTCATGTTTTGAGTTTTGTTTGAATCCATTTGTATCTTGATGAAAAAATGGGACAAAGTTAGGGGAAAATAAGGGAATTTCATAACTTAGAAAAATTTCTAAGTTATGAAATTTCTTCATTTTAAACCCTAATTTGCAATTTTGGATTTCTTGATGAACAAGTTTCATAATTTGACATGTCTTGATGAGAAATGAATCTTGGCACTTGATTTTGACCAAAAAGTCCAAGTTTGACTTTTCAGTATATAGTCAAATTTTGATCAATTGACTGAAAAATTCATCCGTCAATCCTGTGCATTTGAGATCTTTTGAACTTGTTGAATGTGTCAAGACAATGCCATTGAGTCCTTAAGTCCATATATGAGCTTGGTTTGCCATTGGTTAGGTCAAACAGTCAAAAATTACCTTTGTGCAATCAAAACCCTAAAAATGACCATTTTGCCCTTTTGGTGATCTGATCAAATTTCTTGTGGGATTGTGATCTAAACTTGACCAAATGGTTCATATGAGTTTATTATGTTGATGTGGGTTAAATTTCATGAGGTTTGACTGTCAATTGGCCACAGTTGACTTTTTCCCCAATACAGCTGATTTCTAGGTCAACTGTCCAATTGACTGGGCAAAGATTGAAATCAAGGCTTGAAACTTGGTATGGATAAACTTGTAAGTCCAACATGAAGCATGAAAGTCACTTTGGGCATTTTAGGTCAAAACATCTTTGTGCCAACTCAAACCCTAATTTGGGTCAACAGTGCAATGAGGGGTCTTGAGCAGAGCAAACCCTAACTTGATCTTGAGCTCCAAGGGTCTTGTGGTGAGAAAATGTTGATGAAATGAGAGGGAAAATTTTGGGGTGCAACAGTCACCCTTACTATCACACAACTATTTCTTCAATTCCGAATATGCTGATTCAACTTTGTTAGTTATTGTGGTACCAAGGTGTCTAACATGATCGATTCATGCACAAACAATTTTCTCCTTCACTTGGTCCAAAATAATACTCTCAACATATTTCAAAAAAATCTGAATATCAGACACACATGCTTCTAAATTGCATTACAGAGGCAACATGTAATTCTTCCATGGATGAATTTAATATACGAGTCCATGCATCCATAATCTTTTCCACCACCACACTTGATTTGACCATTTTTTCGTCTTCACCCTTCATTTGTTTGGTGCCTACCACAGGTTTTAGCCGACTCCGCATGCTTTTTGTAATGTGATATCGACAAAGTTATGCGTAGGATGTAGAAAACACTTTTGCAACCGAATTCAATTGTACGGTGTCTCGATAATTGACAATTACCTTCAACATATTTTCTTGGTCCTTCATCAAACTCTTGCATACTTCCAAGGCCTAAGTAATGTTGACCTCTTTTTCGGATTCCAAAAATACAAATCTCACTGAAAAATCTTCTTCTTAGAAGTAACACCAACAATTTCAAGAAGCGAAAACCTATACTTGTTGGTCTTATACGTTGCATCAATAATGAGGATAGTAGAAAATATGTTGAACAACTTGATACTTTCGAGATGAGTCCAGAAAATGCCACGAACAATGACTTTATCATCACATATTGCATACCTAGAAACATAATAGTTTTCACCCAAAAGTTTCAAAAGTTGTTGGATTTCAGATCTTGGAACCCTTATCGCCATGTTGTTTCGATGATACTGATTGTATACCTTCTTGATATTTGGAACACTTTCTGGGTGTTTTTGTTTCAAATCTGCAGATATGTTTTTCGGCGCCACTCTAATTAAAGACATGTTAGAAATAATTTCCCTTTCCTCCAGTTTAAGACGACATACGATGGGATGGCCGACTAGCTTTGTTTGCAACTCATAGTTTTGTATTTTAGAAAGCACATTAAATTTCCACATCTCATCCATGCTACAATATCCGTGCAGTTTAAACGGACTACCACACTTTCTCGTTCCAATGTCACCATGTTTCAACTTTCGAAGAGGGAACATACATGCCACTTCTCTCACATCTCATGGTTACAAATGTTTGTCTTCCATTAGAACCATTGTCAGACCTTTTGATTACGATGATAAATCCCAAATTCCTGGCTATCATGCGAATTCGTTGAATCATATGTTTACGAGCAATATACAGTTGTTCATTTATGAAATGTTGACCAACGTCTATCTCTATTAGTTTAACACCATCCTTCATTTTTTCCGGTTCAACATCATGCTTAACTTCAACAGGTTTAACATTATCCTTCGTTACATCCTGTTTTACATCGTTACATACAACAACTTTGAGAAACATATTTGGGTGAACGATATCTAATAAGAACTAAAACATGAAAATTCTAAAAAACCAGTAACAGATGAATTCAGATATGCATATTTTAAATAATGCAAGTGAGTTCAGATGTATATGCAGACAAAGCGAACATTTTTTCAACTCAAACTAAAGACCAACGCAAGCAATGAGGGGTGAAATGAATGAACTTTACTTTAAATTATAGCTTATTATGCTCCTTTTGATGTGTTAAAATGCAAGAAATTTGGTTTTGAATCGAAAAGTGGATTAATAATGAGATTTTTAAAGGTTTTTTTGTTGTTGTTATGGAAGAGTTTTGAGAGTTTGAAGAATAAAGAAGATGATCATGCAATGTGGTCATATATTCAAATTTTCACTGAATATTTTCGATATACATCTCTGAAAATATCACTAAATGGTTAGAAAAAATTCTTCATATAAAAAAGTAATTTCATAGATGTATCTACGAATTTACCTTAAGATATATTTGAAATTACAGCTCCAAATTAAATTTAAACAAAAATTAATATTTAGTACGATTGAAGAGATGTATGTCAATCACATCTTACACACTTGAGATTAAGTAATACATGAACAATATCCAACTAATATCATAAACGGAAAGTATTGTATTAATACTCCGTTTGATATTATTATAAATCTAAAAAAAAGTCTATCATTATTCAATAAACTTAAAAAAATATATTTATTATTCAATAAATTAAATATTTTTTTTTTACTTATAAATAAGGTCGGAAGGAATACCATTTATATTTTGATGTTTAAAATATATAAATAATAATATTTATTATTTTTATATTTTAACTTATGTAAAAACTATTAAAATAATTATTTAAAAAACAGATGGAGTATTACTAGCATCATAATAAAATGATAAGAGACATATCCATTTTGTAATTAATCACCAAACACAACCCCATTTAACGTCGTCGCCAGCTACCTCAAAACCAAACAACAAAAGAAACCACTGATCCCCTTTCTACTTCCAAAACCTCTCTTTCTCCAACACAACCAATAAAAAAGAAATACTCCTTTTCCCTTTCTCTGTTCCGTTTCAGTCTTTACACCCCCACCACAAAAAAACAAACCCCCTTCACTCTTTTCTTTCTCAGTTCTCACACTCTCCCACACACTATCACCATCACTCTATCTCATTCCAATGGCAGAAGAAGAACACCACGACGAAATGAAGAAACTATTTTCCTCCTACATCGGTCTCAGCTTCTCCGTCTTCCTCGCCCTCCTTCCCAACAAACTCCGAGAACATTCTCTCAGAGCCTTTCGCGCCGAGGAAGAGCTACGCCAGATAAAATCCCGCCGCCAGGAGGATTACAAAGCAAACGCCAGAGTAGCCGAGATCTTCGCCTCGCACCGAAACTCCTGGCGCGACGAAGAGAAACGTCTCTTGCGTCGAATCGACGCCGCGTCGGAGGAGATCGATAGGCTGAGAGGAATCGTGGAAGATTCCAAGGCGCGTGTGGAGGAGTTGGAGCGTGAGGTTGTTGAGAGAGATGATATGATTGGGTTTATTTCCAGAAGGTTTCAGGAGGAGGGATTAGGTGGTTGCGGGAGCAGGGAACGTTACGGTGGGAATCAATATAATAATAGTAATAGCGGTGGTGGCGGTGGTGGTGGTGGTGGGGAGTGGTTTCATAAAGAGGAAGATGAAATGGTGGGGACCACTGCTGATTCTCGTAAAGTTGATGTTATCTATCAACAACATCATAGTAATGCTTTTGATTCTGAGTTTATTGCTTCTTCTGGTTCTAAGTTTTGGGCTGAAAAAGCATCACTGTGCCAGGTTTGTTACTCCATTTGTTTCAAAATTAATATGTTATAGAGAAAAAATTTGTTTCAAAATTAATATTATTATCAATTTTTAATATAGTAATGATAATTATTTTTTCAATTATAAGACTAATTTATTAAAAATACAATGTTATATGATAATATAATTGTATTCCTTAAAGTGTGTGCAAAAACTTTAAACAATATTCATCTTATCCTTTGATTCTCTTTCTTTTTTTCTTCTTCTTTTCTTTTCAATCATTGAAAGTTTAGTGCAGTAGAAAGTGTATATAGAAAGTGTATATATATATATATATATATATATATATATATATATATATATATATATATATATATATATATATATATATATATATATATATATATATATATATATATATATATATATATATATATATATATATATATATATATATATATATATATATATATATATATATATATATATATATATATATATATTCTTTTAATCTAAAAGTAGTTGGTAAGAAAAATGACAAATTTAATATGAATAGAATATGATGATGAGACGAGGAGGACCACATGCTAGGAAAACCTTGACACAACATCAGTCACAGTCACAGTAATCCAAGTAGACACCAGTTTATAATTTAAGATAAATAGTGATTAAATGTTGCTAAATATGTTGTCTTAAACACCCTTCAATAAACCTCTTTGATAAGAGGTGTTTGTGTTACACAGATGACATGCTTGGTGGTTTTTAAGAGTGACATCTTAAGTTTTCAGAGGTCTTGTAAGTTAGCCACAAATGTCTTAAGTTTTCGGAGGTCCTGTGTAAGTTAGTCACAAGTGTCTTAAGTTTTCGGAGGTCCTGTCTACGTTAGCTATAAATGTCTTAAGTTTTCGGAGGTTCTGCGTAAATTAGCCACATATTAACTGTGGCAAAACAAAAAACAAACAGGGACTCTATTTTATCAGGGTTGAACCTTGACAAATAATTTATGAGACACTATTAGCCACGAATAAACCATGTCAAATTTTGGGCGCTATGCGGTAGTTCGCCTTGCATGACTTCAAATATGGACCTGACAATGAAGCACATACACATATGTGATTCATAGCCAATGATAAAATAATTGAAGAAAATGAAAATGATTGAATGTAACCAATCACACATGTCATTGTTGTGCCTGGTCCCAAACACATGTAAGACATCATGTACATCTTTTTTAGGATGTGCTACTTAGTTTTATGGTTACCTTTTTAATTTTTTCCTGTTCTTTTATCACACAGCTTTTTACTCATGATTCAAGGTTACAGGCTTTAGGAGATTCCTTTCCTTGGGTACGGTAGAGTTGGACCTGATTCTTTTATGTATTTGTGATGGCAGCTGGGGTCCTTGGGAGGTCTTGTTTAGCTTTTTCTATCTTTGAAGTTTAGTGGTGGAGCCATGTACCATTCATTTGTTGTTTGTCTCTTTTTGCACCTTCTCTTGTAGCAAATGTGTCCCATATTGCTTTGCTTTACTTTACTGGTCCACTTTAATTTTCAACAGGCACTTGACACAAGTCACTGTTTTCATCTAGTGCTGAAATCTAGGGTATCCTTCTCTGGGCTGTTTTCTGTCTGTACCCGTGACATGGTTGCAAATTGATAAAGCTACTGATGTTTTTGTTGGTTGGGGGTGTATTATTGAGATAGAGAGACATCTCTCCTTCTGCTTGCTATTTGCTAACACTAGTCTCTTACACTGTTTTCCTGTTTGCTACCGCTAATGCATGTGGTTGGAATATACATGTATATATTTTAAGAGTGATTCATTGAATAGTAAATGTAAAAAGACGCAGTGAAGAATAAGAATATTCTTACAGCACCTGCCAAGGGAAATGAGTTTTTTCTATTGAATTTGATTTTTCTCCCTAAAGGATCCAATGCAAAAAAAAGAGTAACTATGTTTCTTTACTCCTTGTTTCTCCGTTTTAATGTACCTTGAAACGTGGTTAAAATTGAGATTGTAGGATAAGTTATTGAAATTCGCTATCCATGATATGTTGCCTAAAATATTGTTTGTTTGTGAAAGATGGCTAGGAGAACCAACCAAGAAATAAATACACAACAACAGACATTCACCAGAATTTGTCGAACAACTTACCACTATATAACATTGCAGATTAGGAATGATATTTAAGTGCTCTTCTGCCTAAAAACTCAAATGGCATTACAAATGGAGACCTTTTTCAACGAAGTAACTTTATAATCCAAGGTCATTTGACGCAATAAAACAGTATTTGTTCCACCTGAAATGCGAATCATAGTGTTGTTGGGTTTTGTCTCTGTAATAGTATAATGTACTTGGTAAATCATAGTAGTATATGCAATTTTTTTTTGACTAATCATATATGCAACTTATTATCAACTAAAAGTTGATGCTGATTTCTGATCCTTAAATGCTTATTATGCTTGCAGGATGTACAGTATGAATCCCTTGAATCAATGTATAATACGAAGCAATTTGTAGCAAGGTATATATTTGATAATCTAAATGCAGATAGCTTTTGTAGCATTTAGCATTAATCTTCAACTAAATGAAGGGTAAATTGTTTTTTCCCCTCAGAAGGGAGTCCCCGTGGAAGGTAGACGGCGATTCAGCTGGAGTTTCCTCTAAACTTAAATTACTTGAACAGGAATTATTAAATCTGGAGAAGATTAGTAAGGATGTCCCGTCGAAGGTGTCATCCTCAATAAAGAAGCAAGCAAAGAGATTTCAATCGCTTTCAGAAAAAATTGATGATTTATGCAGACGAATAGTGAGTAACTCATGTTTTATTGTTTTTGTTTATCGTCTTTGTTATCTTGCTAATTGTAGTTACCCATTTCAAACTTGCTTCACTTAAACCTGGCACATATTTCTGAGTCATGGAATGCCATGGCAGTTTTTATGGATCCTGACATTTCGTCTCCTATTGAGCAGGCTAGTGATCCATGTGAACCCTCCCTCGGTTCAGAATTTCGAACCCAAACTCAAACAGAGTTTTTACTAGAAGCATTCCGGCTTCAACAGGGTGCATCTGAAACTGGACAGAAACTAATGGCATTGCATACCGAAGTCGGGAAGACCCATTACAGGGACGAGTTAAGAGGCGAGACCACACTAACCACAAGACGATCGCTGGACTCTATTCGAAACAACTTCAGAGAACTCCAGCGAAATCTGGAGATCTGGTTGGCCAGAATCATCGGTGATCTCGAAGGAATTCTTGCAAGGGACGGTGCGTCTCGCGTAAGAGAATATTACATTTCTAGATATCCTTTTGTTCAATAGAATCTGAGACTGGTAGGGTAGGAAGCCTCACTTCTCAACCTAACAAGTTAGCTCTTTTGGTATGTAAATTGTTGTAGTACATAAAAGTGGTAGTTGGGATATCCATGTGGAAATGAAATCATACCACATTTGCTAATTTTGGCATCTTAAATATATGCTTTTCTTCACACCCCAAGAGCACATCAATCTTAAATGCATTTGTCAATTTGTAGATGGAACCATGCAAATGTAACAGCTAAGAAACAATCATAAAGGTGAAGAATCCTCATATAAGAAATCACAACAGAAATTGTATCAAATAAAAAATCACAGCAGAAAACACACAAATGCACGCACACATATGACATATCCTCGTATCCATTTCTCTCTTCCTAGTTTGTTCTTTGTCTTGTCTTTTGTATGTCTCTTCCATTTTCACTTGTCTCCTTAGAGAAAATACTATTACTATTCTTATTCTTATTGCTTTTCTGATTTTGTTCGTATTTTTGTCTGTATTGTCATGCAATGTCATGAATTTCCTACCAATTGTAATTTAATTAATCAACCAGTAATCACATTTTTGTTTCTACTGTGAACAAATCAAGAAAACGGGGCAAAAACGTTGATAATTTTGCATTCCCATTCACCGTCACTATATAGGTAGATTAATCATTATTTAAGGTAATTTCATTATAATATAACAGTATAAGATAAAATACGGCGTCTTTGGCCGGCTTTCTCATTTGTTATGTTATAAGGTTGAATTAACATCACAACCATTTCTTTCTTTCGTTCTTTCTAACATTGCATGATAATTGATATATGGCAGATAATGAGAGTGATCCTACTTCTAATCACAAGGTTATTTTCCAAATTATTATTGCAATTTCAGCTGCATTTGTTGTTACTTCAGTGTACCGTCTCATAGCTATTTGTTTGTGTCACCGAGGACGAACCACAACAGATCAAAACCAACTACAACTACCGAATCACGCTGCGATACCTAGCCGCGAAAGGACATCCTCATCAGTAGGTGTAGCACACCAAATTCCAACACACAAGTACCGCAAAAGAAATAAAGTTGATGCTGCTTCGGACGATGAAGGCGACACATGTGCCGTGTGTTTGGGAGATTTTGAGGAGGGTGAGGAGTTGAAGACTATGCCAGAGTGCTTGCACTCTTTTCATGTGCATTGCATTGACATGTGGCTCCATGCGCATTCGAGTTGCCCTATTTGTCGCACTGGTGCTGGTGCTGCACCTTTGCCGGTGGTGAGGGCAAATCATCATAGCATAGATATGAATATGTCTCCACTTGGTAGTGGTGCTGCTATGCAAAGTGGATTGTTGCGATGGTGAGATTTTGATTATGGTGATTTTCAGGAGTCATACTGGAAAAGCACATACACAACTAATTTAGCAATGTCAAAACATGCATGGTTATTAGAATTCAGTTTTATATCCATTGTATAAACTTTTCAGCAATCATAATATCACTTGTAAGTTGTTTTTTAATGGTTAATTTTGCCAACCTTTTGAAATTTTCTATATTTAAATCAGAATCTAATTCATTTAATTTCATAAGTATTGATTTGAATTAGGTCAAACTCAATCCAACAACCAAACAAGAGCACAGCACTCCAAACACACTAGCTTAAAACATACCAATGTGTATCAAACAACTCTCGTCCATTGATCCAAGAGACTACGAATTAATGTATAAGTGCCACACTATTTGAAGAGCCGTGTTCCTCGCTAAAATCATCATTGCATATATGGTCTTGGTAAAAATGATCAAATTACACCTCAGTCTACGCTACTTACTTCTAATACTAGGATTCAGATGGTATATGGAAGGTGTTTACATGGGTCAAGATGAATTTCCAAAATCCCACTGACGACGGTTAGACACAGAAGTGATAACAGACTCTGGCCAAAGTTGGAATTAAATGCTAATGAAAAATGTGTAGCATCCATGACACATATTTCAGGACTTTCCAGAAGAGCAGCTAACCATGTTTTCTTCATCAGATCCCAATGAGAATCATGATCACAATCGTCATCTATAAAGGATGATCCATATGAAAAACCTCTAAACAAGACCATAGCCATGATACACCGTAGAGAGTTCCTACTTGCAACCTGGTTGAGGCCCAACCCACTTGATATTGGATCACTTAGTCTTAGGAGATAGATTCAAGGACATTTGTTTATCCACTCCATGGCGTGAGGCTAAACACTGAATTTTCCCTTTCCATATTCCAGAGATAATGCACACACTGCTTCATATATGAGCCATCAACCTCCACATTTGTCAAAAATTAGTCCGAAGATGCATCTCAATCCTATAAATTTGAAGGGTGTGTCCGTAAGTCCGTCTCCATACTAACTTGTGAAAGCATTATGAACGGATGGAAGAGTGTTTTAACATATCTTAGAGGGTATTTTGGAATTGGATCTTTGAAAAACCCTCAAAACTTAGAACATCAATCATAGGTAGCAACTTTGTCTTGAAGTTGATATTTTTTTTAGGCCATTTTATATTTTAGCCCATTTATATTAAGGATATTATAACACTATGTTAACCGTACTAATATAATTCAAGGATGTCATATATAAATTCAAACAATAATATAAATCCAAACATTAATCAATTAATCGAAAATTGTTCTGGACTGGGTCCGGGTTGGCCCAAGAGCAAGAATGAAGGCCCAATCCAAACAACTCTACAAGGAACGCGTCGACCAGAAGCTACAGTCGTGCCCGCCGTGCCCGCGAACACAACGTCGTCGACCACATACAATCCAGCTCGAGCACCCTCCTCGTAGGGCAGACTATGACCGTTACCCCATCACCTGAACTCCGAAAAGACCGCGTCCTTGTTCGTCCGTACTTCTCGCAGAGCATCACCAGGAAGGAGACCACGTGCGGGTCCCCACTACACACGTAGAACCTGACAGTTCCTTTGTTGGGCCAATCCTGGTCGGCCCAATGAAGGGACCTTGGCCCAGCGCTGGGGGCTATAAATATCCTCTGTTCCAAGAGGGTCAGGTATTCATTCTCTTACCCATATACACACTTTTTTCCTGCTCGTACTGTCACTCACTTTAGCATCGGAGTGCCTTGCAGGTACCCCCCATCTCGTTCAACTTCAGCTCGGAGCCAGTCGTGACGGTCCAAGTCTGATCAGGTAAGATCAGTGGCGCCGTCTGTGAAAATCTAGCTTCCCCGTCTTGCAAAAACTCGAATACCAAAGCTCAACTCAACGATCACCGTCATGGCTGACCAAGTTCGTGATGAACAAAACATCCACGCCGTCGACACCAACAACGGCCTCGCGGATAAAAACGGACACCCTGATGACGCCGGCAACCCCGGTCATAACACCATCCCTGTGTCGACCGCCCCCGGTCCCTCAATCCACCGCGACGGAGTTACCGCATCATCCTCCTCGGTCCCTCCGCCGCTCGAAGATGACAACGCAGCCACCCAACAACACCGGGCTGCCCAATTCCAAGAGGTCCCTGTCTCCGCCGGGGAAGACGCCACAACCCGCGCACTATTCGCGGCGATCAATTAGACGAATTACCTCATCTTCTCCCAAGGGGAAAGATTGAGGGCGCTAGAAGACGATCGAAGGCCTGCGAGGAGACACAGGAGGCCCCAGACCCCACCTCCTCGAGCAACGGAGGTACATTTCCCGTCTCCCCAGCGGAGACACTACAGAGATACCTCTCGAAGCCCGTCACCCCGACCCTCGGGGAGACGGCCCCCTTTGGAGAGGCAACCCATCATTGAAGCTGGGGGACGCGGCCACGCCCCCACGCGTCAAGACAGAAGACACTTCGGAGACGGGCATGGAAGAATCAACCAACGAGCACCACGCTCGAGAGATGCCCAACACGATCAGGACCGTCGAGCTCGACAATATTACAGGTCCCCATCCCTGTCCCCGGAGCGGAGTGACGAGGACGACCCCCGCAGTCCCCTGTCACAAGCCATCATGGAGGCGCCCATTCCCCCGGGCATGGAGAAGCCTCCACATCTGAAGGAATACGACAGAGTCGCGGACCCAGTCGACCACATTGACGGGTTCGAGGCTATGCTGCACTACCATAACATCGGGGGACCCATCAAATGCCGGCTGTTCCCCACGACCCTCAGAAAGGCAGCAATGGACTGGTATAAAGGCCTCGCCCCGGGATCAATCACCTCGTGGCGAAACCTGAAGAACCAATTCATCAGTTCGTTCATAGCGTCTCGACGACACCCAAAGACCGAGGCGGCTCTCGAGGCAATCATCCAGAGACAAGATGAAACCTTAAGAGAGTTTATCAATCGCTTCAACCGTGAAGCTATACAGGTCCCCTGTGCGGACCACATGAAAAGGTATCTGTTGGAGAGGGAGCTCCTCCCCGGCACGGAATTCAGAAAGGCCGTGGGCATCAAGCCACCTAGAACATTCGATGCCCTCCTCGAGAATCCTAGGCATACATGGATTACGAGCAGAGAGAGGCGGCCAACAGAGCCCGAGACCCCAGGACTCGCGGGTCCAGCAGCAACCCGCGCCAGGAAGCTGCTCCTCCTCGACGAATCGAGGAGAAAAGAAAAGAAGACAGACCCCAAGAAGTCCGAGAGCAAAGAGGACCCTCGGGGCGTTTTACCGAGTACACTCCGCTCACAGCTTCCCGCGAGCGCATTTTGGCGGAGTGTGCCAGCACAGACTTCAAGGACGGCGGCGTCAAACGCCCCCGACCTGCTCCCTCCAAGCCCGGAGCAGACGAGAACAAGTATTGTCAGTACCATAGGAGCCATGGTCATCTGACTGAAGATTGCGTCCACCTCGAGGACGCCATTGAAACCCTCATCAAGGGAGGAAGGCTCGCACAATACCAGCGAAACGACGCTCCTCGTCATGACGCCCGGGAAACAAGGGAGTCGGAGGAAGACGCCCGACCATCTGACGAGTCGATCCCCGTCCAGACCGCCTTCTCCGTGACCAGACCCGAGGACTTCAACGTCCCCGAACACCTGCAGGAGCCGCTCACAACACACAGCAGGTGGGAATATTTCCCCTCCGCCATGGTCATCAACGGCGGAGGATTCAACGACTTGACCATCAATTCGGCTAAAAGGAAGCTGGATGAGCTGGTCTACGCGGCACCTCCGCAAACAATGACATTTGAAAGGGTAAAGGGTAGGTCGGAACCCATCACCTTCTACTTGGAAGAGCTCCCCGGGGGAACCCCCAACGCAGTCATCCCCTTGCTGATAAGGGCAAGAATGGCCAACTTCGATGTGCATCGCATCCTCGTCGACGAAGGAAGTTCCGTCGACGTAATGTACAACCAATTGTTCTGAACTCTGCAGCTGGACGACTTACATCTCTCGCCGTATGTAGGGTCGGACTTACAAGGATTCAACGGCTCGACTTTCAAGCCTTGGGGATACGTTGAGCTCATGGTTACCTTCGGCGAAGGCACGACGACAAGGCAGGTTAAAGTACGCTTCCTCGTCATCGACTGCCCGTCCCTCTATAACTGCATCCTGGGGAGACCAACACTGGCAGAACTGACAGCGGTGCCCTCCACCGTCCACCTAAAGATGAAGTTCTACACCAAAAGGGCACATGTAGCTACCATCCAGGGCGACCTAGCCGCTGCTCGAAGGTGTTTCAACGCTGCGTCTAAGGGGAACGACACAGTCGACGTCGGGACAAGGCCCACCAAAAGACCAGCGACAGCACGCCAGGAGCCCAACAAACTGGAACCCGCCAAGGAGGAAGCCCAGAAAGCCCCACCAAAGGTCGACTCTATAGCTCTGGACGCTCGCTTTGATCAGGATGAACCCCCCAACGGCGAGCAGATTCCCCTCCGACCAATATCGGATGGAGACTTTGAGCTTGTCCCCCTCGGCGCAGACTCGAGCAAAGGAGTAAAGATTGGCATCGACCTCCACGACTTGGCAAGGAAGCAAATCAAAGCCTGATTGCGCGAGAATGCTGACCTGTTCGCCTGGAGCGCCGCGGAGATGCCCGGACTCGACCCTGAGGTCGCCTGCCACCGTCTCGCCATAGATCCTGCCGCTAAGGCCGTAGTACAACGTAGGCGTAGGCAGTCTCCGGAGAAAATGGAGGCTGCTGAAAAAGCTGTAAAAGACCTCCTAGAGACAAATTTTATTTCCGAAGCCCGGTATTCAACCTGGCTGTCGAACGTTGTACTTGTTAAAAAGAATAATGGAAAATGGAGGATGTGTGTTGACTATACCAATCTCAACCGGGCTTGCCCGAAAGATGCTTTCCCTTTACCGAACATAGACATGCTGGTCGACAACTCGGCCGGCTACAAAACATTGTCATT